TACTATCACGAATTTATCCAAGTAAGGTCAGCACACACGCTTCATTAGGTCCATGAACACTACAGGCGCATTAGTCAAACCAAAGGGCATCACCACAAACTCTTTGTGACCATAGCGAGTTCTGAATGTCGTCTTTGGAATATCTTCCTCCTGAATTCGTAGTTGATGGTACCCCGACCTTAGATCAATCTTTGAGAAGTAGCTCGATCCTTGCAGTTGATCAAATAAGTTATCGATTCGAGGTAGGGGATAATGGTTCTTGATAGTGATTTGTTTAGTTCTCGATAGTCTATGCACATGAGGAAAGATCCATCCTTCTTTTTCACGAACAAAACCGGTGCTCCCCAAGGTGAGAAGCTTGGTCTGATGAATCCTTTTCTTAGCAGTTCGTTCAGTTGACTGGATAATTCTTGTATTTCAGCCACTGCTAAGTGGTATGGGGATTTGGCTATGGGGGTGGCTCCAGGAATTAAGTCGATTCTGAACTCGACTTGGCGTACGGGGGGTTATTCCCGAAAGGTCTTCTGGGAAAACGTCAGGAACGTTGAAGACTTCGGGAATATCTTTGATGTCTTTCATTTCTTGTTTCCCATCAACGACATGGGCTAAGAAGGCATGGTATTCCTTACGTAGGTACTTGTGAGCCTTGATGCAAGAGATGATTTGTAGATTTGTGTCGTTTTTATCGCCATAAATGACGAGGGTTTCGCTACTTGGTAGGCTAAGGCGAATGACATTTTCGTAACACGGGATATCGGCATGGTGAGGACTTAACCAATCCATGCGGATGATAACGTCAAAAGTTCTTATTGTGACCGAAATTAGTTCGATTTGGAAGGACTGATTGTTTAGAGTTAGCATGCATCCTATGTATATATCATTAGTGCTTTCTGTTTTACCATTTTCCATTTCTATGGTGAATGTTTCATTTAGCGATGGGGTTTCTGTTTGACTAAATGTTTAAACTGGTGGCTCACGAAGCTTTTCTCCGCACCACTATCGAAAAGTATATATGCATATGAGTTATTTAGGAGGAACGTACCAGTAACCACGGTGGGATCCCTCATGGCCTCCTCATGCCCAATTGCTAGAACCCTTCCCACACCTTCACTATTTTTGTTTTAGGCCTTCGAGCACTCCTTCTTGAAATGTCACGTTTCACCTCACCTGTAGCATGTGCGACTCACCCCAGCATTAGCGACTTGGGTGGTTTGTTGTGCCGGTGCTTTGCATAAACGGGCGGTGTGCCCCTTCTTGGTGCAATTGTTACATTGCATTTCTCGGCAGGCTTTATGGTGATGGTAATTGCACTTGTCGCATTTCGGAAGAGTTCCAACATATTGTTTGGCTAGTGCAGGGGCGGTGATGGCATGGACGGCCACCGTTTGTTGTTTCTTGATCGGGTCTTGAGCGGGTTGGCCCTTTTTCTTATTTCCGAACATCCGCTTGTTGTCTCCCCTCTTCAGTTGTTCGGGCGTGGGGGTTATAATGCCTTGAAGAATTCTCTGTTCGACAAGAGTCTGTGCCAAATGCTTGGTACTGTCGAGGGTGCTCGGGTTGGCAGATATGACCATTCCCTGGATCTAAGGGGATAGAACCCAAATGTAACTTTCCACTTTCTTGGCCTCTGGGGTGACCATTCCCGGACACAGAGTTGCCAATTCGTTAAACCGAGAAGTGTAGGTGGCAATATCGGAACCCTTCATGGAGTGTTCCCATAGTTCCTGTTCCAGCTTCTGCATCTCGCTCCTTGGACAGTATTCCTCGAGCATCATGGCTTTCAGGTCCTCCTAACTCATGGCGTTGGCCACGGCTAGATTTAATACTTTAACGTGGCTATTCCACCACGTCAAGGCCGAGTCTGCAAATATACATGTTGCATATTTGACTTTGAACTCGTCCAGGCATGCACAAATCTCGAATATGGACTCGGTCTTCTCGAACCATCTTGTTAGAGTAACGACTCTGCCGTCGCCATGATAGGTCATGGTTTTGCATTTCATGAATTCTTTATAGGAGCACATCCGTTGGTGCCCTTGGTTGTCACCATGATTGGAACTGCTAATCCGGTTCCCGCTCCCGTTTCCGTTTCCATTCCCGTTCACATTCGTGCCATTACTACTGATTTGGGCCATGGCAGCAGCCACATCGGCTGTTACAGCGGCCTGAAAAATGGCAGAGTCCATCGGTGGAGGTGGTGGTGGCAGTGCTGGAGTTGTTGCGGTGTTGACGACACATCTTCTAATTCTTCGTGGTGGCATATTTCTGCCATAAAGTTTAGAGGTGGGATAATGATAAGTTTTTTATAATGGTCATGAATCAGGCATCACCATAATGAAATGCGTCGATTATATATGTATTAAGTCTCATTGTTATGGTAATGTGCAAGCAGTTCATGAATGGAATTTACTATACAAGAAGTAAACATTTGCATAACAAGTAACAACACTCAATGAAATAAAATGCATACAAATTTCATTGATATAGTAGTTTTAGTACATAGTTTGTGAAAATTGACCTTTAGGAAGGTCTAAAATACATTAAGAAAATAGAGAAATGTTGGCGGCATAACGATCCCTTGAATATTGTACTCACTTATGCATAGGGTCGTACCTACATGCAGGGAAAGAGTAGCACCAATGCCTACTCGTAAGCCGAGACTATAACAAAATGCGAGTAGTATGAGCCCTACTCATGGCGGGTGGTCTCCTGTGGGCCATGGGATGAAGTCGAGGAGGCCTGCATCTCCGCTATCCGACGTTCAGCTGTGATCACCCTCTCCTCGAGAGCCGAGTGCCTCTCCTGGTACTCTCTCACTTACGCTCGAGCGGTGGTAAGGTCCTCATGCATACTGTCAATGAGACTACAAGTCCGGAGGTAGTCCCTCTCTAGTCGTCGAGCTCGTGCATCAGTGACCTCCGCAGCAGCCCCCAGCTCCAAGATCCGATTCACTGATGCTCTGGTCTGGTCTCCGAGGTCCGTGATCCACTGAACCATGATAGGGAGGGCCCTGTCTGCCGGTCCTCCGTGACTAAGTTATAGAAACCTTGCTCCATACCGTAGGGGGAACGCTGGTGTTGTTGTCAGCTCCACCTCCCCAGGTCCTCCGCCCAACGGGGGGTGGGTCCCTAGTAGCCCATAAGATGTGCGGGAACTCGGGTGACATTGGGGGGATTAATGACCTCAGACTCTGCGTTTGAGTCCTCTTCTACTTCATCCTCGTCTTCTTCCTCCTTAGGATCCTCTTCGGGATCCTCTTCGATCCATCTGCCATTTCAATGGTTAGGGAAATATGGGTTTTCGGGAATATGGAATCCTGCCATGATGTCTGTGCAAGAATTGAGATATAAGAATTGCATGAAAGGTTTAAGTGTATGACTCTGTACTATTCTAAAATACTCCTATAATATTTTAAACTTGATGTTTGATTCTATAGTTTCTTGGTATATAGGTTTGGTAAGTTTTAGATTCGTTGTTCACCACGGCCATTCCCAGACACATGTTAGTCATATCTCGCATGAATATAGTTGATCAGGCTATATTCATCCCAAATATGATTACATAACTATCTAGGCTTAGACGCAACGTCCAACTTACCTTAATACTTTTATATGGTTCTTATTATGACACTGTTCTGGTATGTATGCATGTACGTATACTTTTATATAAAAAATACTTATATTTTAAAAGTATACTTTTAGTCAGAAGTGTTTTAGCCCCATTGTATTTATAGTTGTATATATTATATGGTTTGATATACTTAGTTCACTATAAACAATGCTCTGATACCAATCTGTCACCCCAAACCAGAACGGCGGAAACGTCTGGGGGTGGATGAGTCGCATGTACAGTATCGTAACAAATGAATAGTAGTGATCAAAGCATTAAAACCATCATATTGAATATTTAATAAGTTTACATTGTACTCAAAACATTGTTTTCTTGATATCAAATATGAATAGCAAAAATGAATAACGTGATGCGGCGACGCCCCACCCTCCAAAAACTCTTTGATTACCTGTTTACTGATTTCCTGAGAATACAAGTGATTTTGAAAAAAGTGTCAACAATTAAGTTGGTGAGTTCATAAGCGTTTTGTATGAGAGAAAATCGGTAATTTTTCCTTGTAAAATTATAGGGTATACTTTTAGAAAATCCAATATTTTCTATAAAAATGAACTGTAAGTCTTAAACCCAAGACTAGAAAATGTAAGTAATGTTGTGCTGGAAAAATAGTATTATGAAGTTTTATCTTTATATAAAACTACTTGAATGTATGTTAACCCCGTAAACCAAACGTTTTGTTAATACCCCATGTGATTTATTATAACCATGCTAGCGACTAGTTCGCCTGCTACGACGTTCTTCAAGCGTCAGAACTGGTAGACATTTGTCACCCTAGACTGACCGGTCTAACTGTAGCTAACAACTTAGGTGCGGGGTTGTCAATCCTATATAGATCTATAAAAAAAGTGTCACGCTCTCCCTACAAGAGATTCTGGTTATAATGCAGGACTTAAGTGTATACTCTGGTGGGTACGGTGAAGCCGAATGTCTCAAAAAATTGTATTAATCGGTTTACGTGTACTAAAAACTCATTTTTCTTGTAAATGAATGTATTACTCTTTCATAGTGGTTACATAGTGTAAACATAATTATACCTTTAAATAAGACAAAACTTCAAAAATGGTCCCTGTGGTTTCCGAAAATCTGAAGTTTAGTCCCTAATCTTTAAAAATCTCACAGATGGTCCCTGTGGTTTCAAAACTTTTAACAGATGGTCCTTTTCTCTAACTCCGTTACCTTTTGGGCGTTAAGTGAAGGACATTTCTGTTATTTCATAATCACAGGGACCATTTATGAAGTTTTGCCTTATTTAAAAAAAAAAGAAAAGAATATATAATTATTTAATATTAATGGGTCCCACTCTGTCTCTCTCTCTCTCTTAAACTCTCTTTTCTCTCTCTCTCTTAAACTCTTTTTTTTCTCGCTCTCTACCCTCACCTCTCTCTTCCCTTCCCGTTTTTCTTCACCACCGGCCAAGAAGAGGCTTCCGACCATCGGAGTTGCCTCACCTTTCCCAGCCTCCTCCACCCTCCTCCTTCGAATCTGTGATGCCGACAAGAGTAGAAAACGGGAAAAACACGTCGACCATAGTCAACTTCCTCCACCGTCGTCCGCCTCCATCCCGACAGTGTAGTACCCTAGCTCACCGCCAGCTCTTCTCTTTGTGATTACGACCAACCCCGACCTCCCATACCACTCCTTTGAGCTCACCACCGTCGCGTAGCACCCTCCCTTGGTCATTGATGTTCTCCCTCCGTTCCCACAGTCCTATTGTTGGGTTAAATACCAAGGAAGAAACGAACTCGCCGGAAAAACAGCATCGTCGGTCTCGGCAACAGATCTTTCACCCCAAACATTTTCTGCTTCCTGTGTGTTTTTTCCCTTCTCGAATTGATGAAGACGATGAACCCAGCTCCATCGTTTGTAAGCTCAGAGATCATGATCACGAATTTGAGATCTTCATCACTCCGACTAACAAGATCGATCATCAATCACTTAGCTGTGAGCACATCGGAAGCATCATAAGTCGTTGGGATTGAGAGAGGAAAGTACTTCGTTAAGCCACATATTTTCTCAAAGTTCAGCATTATTACTCCTGATATCAACAAGAATGATTCGCGTCAATTAGGGTTCAAGCGACTGCTATCGGATTGGGGACTCTGAAGCCTGAATTAGGACTTGAAAGATGGAATAGCAAAAAATGAGGAAGAAGATGAAGAGATTAAAGGTGAAGAGGATGATAACTACAAACATTTAACTGAGAAACTAAGCTTGATCTACACCAGCACTCCAAGGAATTTTACCATCATGAATAGGGTATTTCTATTAAAAAAATCACATTTAAATTTGACTAATCATCCTTTGTGAGCTGTAGAACTCCTTGCACAAATGGTTGTACTAATGCTGTAATTTGATTTTTGAAACACAAAACCCTAATTTGATTTTTGATTTTTTAGAAGATGAAGATGAAAAATAAGAAACAGGGGTTTTATTTATGTGTTTGTGTGTATGTTTGTGTGTGTGTGTGTGAGAGAGAGAGAGAGAGAGATACCATATAATATTAAAAAATTGTATTTTTTTTTCTTTTTTTCTTTTTAAAATAAGGCAATACTTTATAAATGGTCCCTATGATTATGAATTGATAGAAATGCCCTTCAGTTAACAGCCAAAAGCTAACGAGTTAGCGAAAAGGACCATCTTTTAAAAGTTTTGAAACCACAGGGACCATCTGTGAGATTTTTAAAGATCAAGGACTAAACTTTAGATTTTCGGAAACCACAGGGACCATTTTTGAAGTTTTGTCTTTAAATAATTATATGTTTCTTCCGAAATGATAATGTAGTATTTGTGACTCCCAAACTATACCAATTATAGTTTAATATGTTTGTTTGTTAAGACTATTTATATAATCATTTATATAAATAAGTAGTAGTGATCTTGTCTAGTTTCAAAATGTATGGTTAAACATCATATTTTTGGGTTGTATCCCTCAAAATGAATTTTGTTAGAAAAACTATATTTTGGTAAAAGCTCCAAAAACCTTGTAGTTTTGTAATCGCAATTTTCCTTATGATTATATAACATAGTTTATATCTTGTTTTTGTTAGTTTTGCATCTTCAAAACTATTATATCACAAATAACTGCTCAAAACCTATTGATAGTCATATTTCATGCAAATAATGTTTTATATTTAACATAGAGATGAAACATACAAGTATTTGTATAATAAACCAATTTTTACTTGTATCCCCCCCCCCCAAAAAAAAACATGAAAAACTCGAAAATGTGAGGGTATGAACTCACCTTAAGTGTGTTTGTGGTTGGATAAAGAGATAATTGTGAAGATCTCCAAGCCTAAAACTCTTCATTGTGGTTGATGAATTATTTGAAGATGATATTACCCTAAGAGTTTTCACACATGATGATGTGTGTAAATAAGATGAAACTAGTGTAAAAGTGTGTAGAAACACTAGATTAACAAGAAAAACTTACAAAAACTCTAAGACCAAACATGGAGAATCTGATCTTGAAAGATTTTTGGACTTGATTCTTGAGAGAGTATAGAGTAAACAGAAGGAAAATATGGAAATGGTGGGGAGTTTGTGGATGATTTCGGCCAAGATAAGGGGGAAAAGGTGATGGGATATTTGCTTTGTTATTTGTTGGGTAATTGCTTTGATAAATGTTGGGTAATATTTTTGGTATTGGAAAAGATGAAACTTCAAATCACAAAGTCAACCCTCCTTTCTTCTTTTTCCCACCGAAAACCACCCTAAAACTACAGAAATCACATGTGATTTCGGTCTAGTACCAACCGAGATCACCATGTGATATCGGTCATGTACTTAACCGAGATCACATAATGGTTTTGGTCTAGGCACAAACCGAAATCACAAGGTTTTGGTGTTCTAGGCTAAGGCAAGGGTTAAATCGTAATTTACGTTCTAACTCGTCGACTTTTCTTGACTTTTGTTGGATCGTTTAACTTCTGTTGGATTCAAAATTGGCAGTTGTCACATTATGTAACATGAAAACATTTTCTTTTGTTATGTTTTTATTTTGAATAAATTAGATATTTATAATTTCTTAATGTTTTGTAAATCAGTTGGTATGGTTGATTATATGATGGCTGCTTAATTATATGTTTGGTAATAAGTTGACTGCTTATTGGAATGGTTGGAAATATGATTAGTCCTAATGTACATGTATATTGTTCTAAAACAAATAATATACATGTTGTGTGTGTGTGTGTGTGTATATATATATATATATATATATATATATATATAGATATATATATATATATATAGATGGATTGTTCTTACATAATAGTATTATAGGCTAACTGTTAACATGCATAAAATTAGAATATTCTGAAAGAATAAAATATGTTGTATGTACATATAGAATATTTTTCCAATTTAATGTTATAGGTTGACTCGTAACATGTATAGAACTATAATATTACAATTAGAATATTCTAATTTGTAAAAGCTGATTTGTTTTAAGATGATTATTATGAATATTCAGGTTTCATTTAATTACTTGATATTATACTTATTATGAGTTATTTTTTAATTTAATTATTCTAATTATTATGATATCGTTTAATAAGTTGTATTCATAAAGAATAATGTTATACGTTGGATACTAACATGTATAGAAGTAGAATATTCTAAAAGATCAATATGCATGTTGAATATACATATAGAATATTCTTAGAGAATAATGTTATAGTTTGAGTACTAACATGAATAGATGTATAATATTATAATTTGAATACTCTAATTTGCAAAAGCTGATTTGTTTTAAGTTGATTGTTCTGATTATTATGAATTCATTTAAATTTATATGTATTGTTAATAACACGTAATTAATGTGTATATGTAGAATATTTCAATAGAGTAATTTTGTATTTTGTGTGTTCATTTAGAATAATATGCATAATTTTATAGGATAATCTAAGTTATATGTAAAATATTCTAATAGAATAATGCCTTAATAAATTTAGGTTTTTTTAATACTCATTGATGTGTTATATTTCTAGTTATTCTATATGTTCTACCTTTAATATTGTGTTGTTAATATTTAATATTATGAAATTGTGTGTGATGTGATATTAAAGTGTAATATTCTAAAATTAGGTTCTACTATGTAAATTAAACTTATATTATATTAGATATTAATAATATATGTAATATTCTAAATTTAAAACTTATAATGTAACGAGAATATCTAGAGGGATTTATAGGTAATCCAAATAATTTACAGAAAACAAAATTTTCAAATTTTAATGTATAATATTATGAAATTATGTATAATATTATGATATTAACGCGTAATATTCTGAAATTATGTTAGAAGGTGTAATATTCTAGTATATGGTGTAATATTATAATTCGAGCCACCCTTCCCTTTAACTATTTTGGAAACTAAAATAACAAAATTTTCAAACCAATAAGAACCATATACTTTTATAGAATGAAATAAAAGTTTTGAGAATAGACAACAACTTCATCTCTAAAAGTTGAAAAGTATTTTAATAAAAGACACGGCTATAGATTATGCAATCAAATATTTAAAGAAATTTGAAAGAAATTTTGAGAATAGGTTTCATCATCTCTAAAAGTTGAAAAGTTTTGAGAATAGGTTTCATCATCTAAAATTCTTTGCAACCAAAATTGAAAGAATTTTTAGAAACGTCTATGGATTATGCAATCAAATATTTAAAATTTAAATCAATGTGTTATAGTAATGAAATTGATGATACAATACACAATGTAAACATTGTTAAAAATATCTTGAATGTAATAAATACCTTGAATGTATTTAGTATAGCCTTTATTGTACATTATAAAGATCATTCAATAATGATAAAAGACACGACTCTAACCTTTTGTGTTTGAAGAAAACAAGTATTTTAACAAAACTATGCTAAGAATCATATCTAAAAACATATTTAAGAGCAACCAATCTTTTTTGTAGTCCAACCTATTCCTGCAATTTGAAATAGCATATTCAACAAAACAATGCTAAAAATATATCTCCAACATTCTATGGTTGAAAAAAAACATGTTTTTAACAAGAGTATTGTTAATTTAATAAGATTAGTAACATTACATTATTTTACACCAATTATAACTAATATTTTGGAAGCATACTCCTATTCTTAAAGATGAATTTAGTAATGGGAAGAAGGAGTGATACATCAAAGTCTTTATTCATTCAATACTTTCATCAAACAGGTAGAATGCATGTATAGTGTTAGAACAAAGTTCTATTAGGATTGTTAGATTCTATGCAAGCAAACAATTATGAACACAAATAAGAACACGAGTATGGCTTTGAATATGTCGTATGATTAATGCTTCAACACCTCAGAAGAGCTCGATTAAGAACTTCGACTGTAGAGGTGTTTAGGGTTACAAAACAATAGACATAATAATCAACAGCGTACTATGCATACATGCATGCATATTTATAGTATAACCCTACTAGATAATCACGGATGGACAGGCCCAATCCGGATACTCAACAAAAAGCCCATGACGCAACACAATTAAACTCTACAATCTCCCCCTTTGCGTCAATGGGACCGAAAGCTCACTTCGGTTGAGCTGTAGGAGTCTTCTTTATAGTTTTGAACACCTTCGGAATGATAGCCAAAAGATGATGACGGAACGTTATGTACCACCGAAGCATGTCAGTAAAATTCTTCCTATCAGCATCCGAGTTCTGC